GATGCCTCATCCCTGGAAGTCACAGAATCACATTCACGTGAATAGAATCATAGGTTCACGTTTATAGAATCATAAGTTCACGTTGGAAGGGACCTTGAAGATCATCTAGTTCCAGCCCCCCTGAAGCGTTCAAGGCCCGGTTGGACGGGGCTTTGAACAACCTGGTTTAGTGGGAGGTGTCCCTGCGCTTGGCAGGGAGGTTAGAACTAGGTGATCTTTACTGTCCCTTCCAACCCAAACCACTCTGTGATTCTGTGAGACCATACTGCTGGAGGGTGTAGGCACGGGCTGGTTTTTATAGGAGGTGCACTGGCGAAGGATGAGAGATGCTAGACCCAAGTTACAGCATGGGAAGTTTCCATCAGAGATAATGAGTATAGAGGCTTAGAGGACTTTGGGGGTCTGCTTTCATGGAATTATTCCAGCTTGAGCAGGGCAAAGTGCTAATAAGCAATATGCACTAAGATGGCCCTGCTTTGTGAGGGTGTTGGACTGGGAACATCCAGAGATTCATTCTAATCTATATGACTGTATGATTTTTAAGGGAAGGAAACTGCTAGCTGCAGTGAGGAACCAGAAATAAGGAGTGGGGGAGGATTTGGCACTGTCCTGCTGAGTGGTGGGTGGATACAGCAGACTGTCAGTAAGATGATAGCTGTCTCCTAGATATGCACCTTTTTATGGTGAACAAGTCTTTTGGTAGGAAGCTGTTGTGCATTCACATAAGGAAAATAGGAAGAGTCATAGGAAGTGTTCAGGGCCAGGTTGGATGATGCTTTGAGCAACGTGGTCTATTGGGAAGTGACCCTGCCCCTGGCAGGGAGTTGGAACTAGATGATTTTTAAGGTCCCTTCCAACTCAAACCATTCTGTGATTCTATGAAATGCTAAAGTGTAGCATGAAGTGCAGCAGACCTTCTGCAAAAATGAATGAAGGCTGTAAGACAATTTGGGAACAGTGCTAAACTTAGTAATTGTCTTGAAGCATGAGAGGCAAGACCTTTACAGACTTTTTAAATCTTTTTTTTACAGTCCAGGTGCAAAAGCTGCATTCAGAGAAGAAAAACCTAAAGCAAAGAGATCAGAATGATTTTTTCTTGTCTGTGTTCATTAAGAAGTATTGCCAGCCATGTTATTTTACTTTGGGAGGGCTTTGTAAGGGGATATCTATTGTACGAAGTGCTGAAGCGTTATAGAACAAGCAGAATGAACACTGTCATGTTGCTTCATAGTCAGCTGCTCTGATCATAGCCTTTTGCCTGAAAGCTCCTCGGCTCTGGGAGGGGCTAAAATGGGCTTAGTGTAATGCTATTTCATAAAAAATGTTTTAGGAGGTGCCTGATAAACTAGCAGTTGGTTGAATGAGGAGTTTCCAGCTACACTGGGATTTTCAAAAGGCATTTAACAAAGTCTGCTACTGAAGGCTCCTAAAGAAATGAAGCTGACACAGGAGAAGAAAATTGTTGCCTGATAAATAATTACCGAAAAGATAGGAAAGGAAAGATCAGCTGTCACAGAGGAGAGTGGAATGGAGTTTCTTTGTATTTTTGCTAGAGCCTGTGTTCAGCATATTGTAAACTATCAAATAAACAGTTAATGCTGAGGTGATTAATTCTTCTCGTAAAGACAAGTGCCATCAGTCAGCTTTAAAGTCTTTATGCTAAAAGGCAGCTGAATGAACCAAGAGCAGGTAATACTCATTGTAGGCAAGTCCAAACAGGTGTAGCATGAGGCACAGAGGGTCACAGCTTTATGGTCATATATATACACACATATATTTCTGTAAAGTCCATATATAGTGATGGGACTTGAAGAAACAAACAGGAGTGAGGCCTTGGAGTAGTAATAAACGTTGCTTAAAAGTAGTTTAGTGCTCAGCAGTTGTACAAAAAGACAACAAACCAGAACGTTGTTATTTCACTATAGAAGGCCATGGTTTGTGCACAGCTTGAATATTTTTAGGCAGCTCTGATCTCAGAAACGGATTTCTGAGTAGTTTAGAAGGAGAAGTTTAAGAGATTCAGAGGAGGTAGATAAGGATACTAAACAAAGGGGAGCTAACTTTGGGAGTCCTGGTACATGGTAATCATAGACTGGCCTAGGCTGGAAGGGACCTTAGAGATCATCTAGTCCAACCTCCCTGGCACGGGCAGGGACGCCTCTCAACTAGATCAGGCAACACATGGGGACTGAACGGGTCTCGAGGCTTCCAAAAAGGACTGAAAAAAATTCCATAAAAAGAAATTAGTTGCCAGTGAGTTTCTGACTCAAATATCTGGAATCAGTGATAGTATTTTCATAAAATACTGCGGTATTTTTGACTACTATGCTCTTCTCATCTGAACTGCACGATACCAGAGACAGGTTATTTGCGCACATGTTTTTGTTGTGAAACAGTGCAGGGATTTTGATGAGTTTGAGAAGTTTTCCTGCGGGAAACTGGGTAACTTGGGTGCTGGTTAATTATGGATGTTCAGAAGGGCCTGTTTATTTTGCTGTATGTTTTTATTGATGTAAATTTGATTGTAGTTAAAAGTCTATTCAGGCTTGTGCTAACATAAACCCTTATAATTGACTCTTTTTTGTTGTATTAGTGCACACTTTTGTACATCGCTGATGACTCTTTTTTAGAATTAACAGAATAAGTTGAAAAGTTATGAACAAATTCTTTGATCAGGGCTGAAAGGTTCATCTTGGAAGATGAGAGGGGAGTGGATTCAATTGCATATTTTTTATAATAAACAGATAATTTCATGTTTTTAAAGGACTGTTTTGCCTTCACAATGTTTGGGGACTTATTTGAAGAGGATTTTTCCTTTATTTCAAACAATCATTGTGGAAAAGGGAAGAAATCAAAGCCCAGAGATTCTGAGCCTCCAGCTCCCAGGGATTTCACCAACCTAAGTGGTATAAAAAATCAGGGTGGGACCTGCTATCTCAATTCCCTTCTGCAGACTTTGCTTTTCACACCGGAATTTAGAGGTAACGTGTTCAAAATCTTCTTACAATGATGTTGGAATTGATATTTTACAATGACTTGCATTTCTAGTTATTTGTTAAAGAAATACCACGGCACAGATTGCTTTCAGGAGCAGTTTACTCCAGTACACTTCAAATAAGTTGTTACAGAATACTCAGAGCTATTAGTCTGTAAAGTTAATATTGTCACCTCTGCACAAAAATGTAAGTATGGTAAACATTAGCTTTTCTCACAGGCAGACAGTTAACAATTTGTGTGACTAATAGAGGTTATTGTTCTCTATAAAGTGTCATTTATTTATTTGTTAAACTGCAACCATTACACTTTCCGGAAAATATTTTGCCCTTTAAACACCTTCAAGCTTGGTTATGCTTTATTGTTACAGTTTGAACCAGTTGCAAGGATGAACAATGTTCAGAAATGTTGTTTAATGTCTTTTATTTACAAAAAAAGGATAGAATCGTAGTGTGTGACAGTTAAAATACAAGAAAACTTTAAAGAGGGGATATTGTGTTTTTTAAAGAGGTGTTTTTCTTTACAATTACAGAGGCACTGTTCTCTCTAGGACCTGAAGAACTTGGGACTTTGGATGATAGCAGTAAACCAGATGCAAAGGTATTTAAAATCATCGTGTCGTTAATCATTGCCCGATGTTGATTCAGAAGAATATGTTCCAATTTGCATGAAACTTCTTAGGAGAATTTGCAAGAAACTTCTTATGAAGGAAAGCCTGGTTTGATACTGACTGATAGTTTGGTTGGCCCATACTCAGTTTTTTGTGTGGTTGTAAGTTTTTGGTGCTGTAAGCTTTTGCTTCAGAAGTAAGATACTGAGCCTGTTTCTGCTGAAATTGATAGCACAGATCATTTTGTCTTCGAGGGGAGCAGGAACAATCTCAAAATCTGTAGTGCCTTTTTAAAAAAATATTTTTCTCTTCTGTAATTGAAGCTACAGTGCTTCGATTTATTGGTCACCATGAAAGAACAAGTAACTGTGTGCAGCCTTGTTGAGTGCATTGAGGCTCTCTGGAGGTTTAATGGCTCACCTATGCACTAGGTGGTATGGGACTGAAGTGTAAGATGTGTTTAAAAATACTCTAAAATTGACTGCAGAATTTCATTCCTTAGTTCTTGGGTTAAAGTGGCATAACTGGTTGCTTGGAAGTTTTTTTTCCTTTAAGTCAAAGATAAATATAGCTAGCTGATCAAGCCTGTCGATGTTAACCATCCTTCCTGTTCCGTTCCTCCCTGCCACCATCCAGCCTTTACTGAGCAAGGAGTAGCACGTGTTAAATCTGTGTGTCACGCTGTCTTGTAGCCAAGTTCTTAGGGTTTAGTGTTGTTAAAAATATCAGAGAAAGCTGTCCTTTTTCTACGATGGCAATGATTTTGTTTTAATCCCTACAGTTTTACTTTATCACAAAATGTATGTTCCGTGACTGTGTTTGAGTAAGGTGAGGCACTGCAGATGAAAGGCATAGACAGTAGTGGTTTGTTACAAGTCTTGTAATAAATAATTTTTTTATTGTAAATGATTGTTTTGAAGACTCTGATCTGTTGGGTATATTTCATTTCTTATTTCTAGGTTCGAATAATTCCATTACAACTTCAACGGTTATTTGCTCAGCTTCTGCTCTTAGACCAGCAGGCTGCGTCTACAACAGACCTCACTGAGAGCTTTGGATGGAACAGCCATGAGGTACAAACCACCCTCAGTGACACAATCATTGATAAACTTTTGCCTGAATGAAGGAGATTTTTTTTTAATTCTGGCATTTAAGAATTACCTTAAAATACTTCAAGCTGTGGAGGTAGCACTGCGTTGGGTCAGCTGTTGTATCTCTACATGAAATACAGGCCAATTGTTTACTGCAAGCAACAGAATTAAATTGTTCTGTTAGATACAATTTCGGTAGTTTTTCCTTTGTTTTTACAGGAATGATTTTCCAGAAGTAATTTGAGTTCTTGTCCTCAAATGCTTAGGTTCTTACCTAAATTGAACTGTGTAACTTATCGTAGAGTTTAGTCTAAGTCTACCCAAGTAAAAGTGTTTTATGCGGGTTATAGTTTGTGTAATACTTGGAGAGCAGTAACTAAGGAATAACAGATAATAATATAGTGACTTACTGCTCAAGGTAGTAAAAGTATGGGTAGTCATTAAGGCAGCTGTCACAATATGTTGTTTTTAAGCAATAAGCAAAGCAGAATACACTATTTCTTCAAATCTGTCTTATTTTTTTTTTATCATGCAGGAAATGAGGCAGCACGATGTGCAAGAATTAAATCGGATTCTGTTCAGTGCTTTGGAAACTTCCCTTGTGGGGACTTCGGGTCATGACCTGATTAACCGATTGTACCATGGGATTGTTGTCAACCAGATTGTTTGTAAAGAATGCAAAAATATCAGCGAGAGACAGGTAAAGCCAGATGATTTCCCAGGCTAGGTTTCTGTTCAGTATGTTTAAGATACTTTAAATGTTTGGGGTTTGGTTTTGTTTGTTTGTTTGTTTGTTTTTTTAACTCCAAAAATAATGACATCTTTCTTGAGTGTAACTGGCCTTGTTGAATATAAGTAGTGTGTGTTGGTTAGGGTGCTGCAGACCTGAAAACATGAAATGATGTACGACTTTGTTGTTAAGTCTTGGCTGGCATTTTCTAAACCACCTCCATCAGGCTGTGACTCAGAGGTAAAAAGACAAGTGTTACTGCATGTTATGAATTGGCAAGCGTTGCCTTTAGTAGATGTAGTTAACAGAGAGTTGAATGGGTGGGATAAAAACAGTAAAACATATCTTTACAGTCTTTTGTGCTCTTTAAAAAAAGTGATTTTGTTTGGTTTTAATTAATTTGTCTTCTGTGGATGTATGTGGGGTTGTTTGCCCCATCAGCAATGAAAGTCTGTTTTGGTGAATGGGATGAATAACTTTCTACTGAACCATGAAATTGCACCACTTACTACCTTATTTTTCTGTTGTCTCTGCATAGGAAGATTTCTTAGACCTCACAGTGGCAGTGAAAGGTGTTGCTAGCTTGGAGGAGGCCCTGTGGAACATGTATGTAGAAGAAGAATACTTTGAAAATGAGAACTTATACCGATGTGGAGCCTGTGATAAACTTGTTGAAGCTTCAAAGGTAACGTCTTGGTGGATTTTAGCATTCTCTTTGCTAACAAGCACTTTGTTTACATTGCTATGTCTACCCTCTAACTCAGACATAAAAAAATCCTTGCCTGCAATCAGACAGAGGATGTCAAAAATCTGACTTCTTTTTTTTAAACCCCATCAACTATGTCAAGAAGAGCTCGTGTGACTCATATCTTGACTTGATTATTGTTGCAGAATTTAACATAGCCAGTGGTGAATGGGATGGCATGTGGTTTCGAGAATATTGCCTCATTCACACACCTCCTAAAGCCACTTGGCTATAGGCATTTCAGCGGATAGGCTAAAAGAAAAGCTGTGTCATAAAATAAAAATAAACAGATCCATGTAATAAAGAAAACTGTGAAAATTCTCTCACCAAAGACCCAAGAGGGAGAGCAAAATAATGAATGGCGGTTGCTCTGCACAGGGAAATGGCATCTGTTGATCCAGGTATTGCGTTGTTTGCCTGATGCCAAATACATCCTTGCAGTGATAAGTCAACCCCTTAGTAGATGTTTTCAATATATTCTGTAGTGCTAGAGCCTTCAGATGAGTAAGAACGTGTTCATGCAGGGAACCATCCAGCTGTTCTAATGTGAAAGACACTGGCTATGTTTTCACCATGTGTGCCTGTGCTGTTCCCATCTGCCACTTTACTTCTGGTTCAGCAACCGCCACTTTTTGTGTTCTCTTGGCAAGGTTTTGAACCAGTGGCCACATGCTGAGTTAGTGGCTTCCAGCCGTGGACGCCACCAGGAGTTTCTGTCTATCAGGACTGAAAGGAGAAGGATAAAAATCTAGGTGGAGCAAAGCTGCAAAGTCAGGTTCCTGTGGGCAGAATATGGACTGTGGAAGAGTCTTCTCCTTCAGGCTGAGCTTGAAGATTCTTCTGAAGGAAGCACCTTGGTTTATCTGTTGAGTTCTGCTCCTTTGTCTTAATCTCCTAGTTAATGATTTGCTTTGATCTGTACTCAGCTATGCGTGAAAACCGTTGGGTTTGAGTTGCTTTTTAAATAATGACTTGTCAAGCCAAATGGCAGTGACCCTGTTCCTGTGCTGAGTCATTGGAGTTCCTCAGCGTTCAACAGAGAACTGTTGACATTAAGCCTGTGATGTTTATTGAGGGTGATCCCCAGGGACATGCAGACTCCTTTGTTTGGCCTGGTTCCCTGCCTTCACCCTGGGCACCTTGGGTGACTCCAGAGCAGACTCCTCCAGAGGAGTTGTGTGTGTGACCCTGAGGGCTTTGGCCGGTGACACAAGTTACTGTCTGTATGCCAGTGCAGCCTGCAGCATCCTTGTGCTGACACCTTGTCCCTGCTTGTTCGGTTTATGACAGTTTGGACTGTTTTCCCCAACACAGTAATTGAATGTAAGACTTTTTATTTGTCTTCTCAACTATCTTTTTAGCCAGGGAGGGGCAACCCAGTGAGAGCTTTATGAGAACTGTAGGTATTTTAAATTGCATTTTTCTGGAATGATACAAATCAGTGTTTGGTTTTCTACTTTCACATCGCAAGTTTTTTTAAAAAGTTGCTCATTTTTTCTGTTATTCGCACTGTTTTTCTGTAAAGGGAGAACACAGATAGGCAGCTGTTAGTGCACTCTGACGTTCTGTTATTTTCACAACAGCAATGCCCTTTGTGGTCACTCTGTTCTGCAGCAGGATGAGTGCAATCCAAACTTTACAGCACCCTTAATGTGGAAAGGAGTGAACTGGGTGGACAGGCAAGCTGAGGACAGATGAAGTTAATATGTGACTAGGGAGTTCAGGAACTTTTGCCAGTGCCTCAGATGGCTTGTTCATAAGGGCTTGTTTGAGTTAAACTCTGCTGGGTTCAAGGGAGTGCGATATAAGAATTGCTTACCTCTCAGTTCATGCAAGGAGAGAGTAGGAACACTGAAATTGGGTAAGAAGCCACGTAGCTGGGGCATGCCTGGTATGAATGGACAACCCCAAAAGAGAGGGGCTGTGCTAGAAAGCTGCAGAATGTTGTGTCAGCATGACTGTTCCTTGTGGCTCTGTGGGCCTGCTAGCACTTGGTCACAGCAAACCCTAGTGAGAGTCAACGCTGACAGCAAGTGAGGTGCTAGATAGGTCACTCTAGGCTTGGTGGCAACATCAGGAAGGCAGCTGCCAAACAGTGCGACCCCGCACCCAGCCTGTTCTGAAGACAAGATGATCCATACCTACCCATTCTGTTCTTCCTGTCAGTGCTCTATGGGTCTTTGAATGTTATTCTTCTCCCTTTTTCATCTTAGCCTCTAGAGATACTTGTAGTTGAAGAACCTCGCATTCCAGAACTTTGTCAAATTTTGTGAAAACTTGTCAAACTTGTAAAAAGATCCAAAATTCTTTGTGCCCCTAAGCTCTGCAACGTAGTCTTCGCAACTGATGCAAATGGAATACCTAATTTAGGAGATTTCTTAAACCTTATGTGTGTTTCTGGGAGACTCTGTGTTGAGGTTCTGCAAATGGAGAGTTGGCTGAATACGTTAGAGAGGCTCAGAAGTGTGCCCGTTGAATCTACGCTTACACTCAGAGGTGCTGCAAGACGGTTGGTTTTACTTCACGCCAGGGTTCCTGACGTGCTCGTCCATCAAGTTCTTTGATCTTGATTAATGACTCTTCCTTATTGGAATGGATTAGGTTGGCTTTCCTGCCAAGGTCCTCTGTATAAATGAGGAAGGTTTTAACTATTCCTTGGTTGTTCTGTGGCTGTCTGTAGGGTCTTCTGGGATACACCTACCCCTTGCTGCTCAAGAGCAGCATCGTCATCTTTACCCTAGTCCACAGATCTTGGGCAAGGCCCTTTTCTTCAAGCAACCTGGCAAGTATTAAGCAAAATGTCACTGTGATGTATTCTGCTGAGTACTGTGTCCAGTTCCGGACTCCCTGGTTGAAGAAGGACAGGGAATTGCGGGAGAGGGTACAGAGAAGGGCTTCAAAGATGATTTCTTATGAAGAAAGACTGAGGGACTTGGGGTCTTATCAGCGCTTTTAAATACTTATAGGAAGGCTGTCAGGAAGATGGGGCCAGTCTTTTTTCACTGGTGGCAAGGACAAGAGCTCATGGGCACAGACTTGAACATAGGAAGTTCCATCTGAACATGAGGAGAAACTTCTTTGTTTTGAGGGTGGCAGAGCACTGGAACAGGCTGCCCAGAGAGGTGATGGACTCTGTCTCTGGAGGTACTCAAAACCTGCCTGGATGCCATCCTGTGCAACCTGCTTTAGGTGATCCTGCTCTGGCAGGGAGGTTGGACTAGATGATCTCTAGAGGTCCCTTCCAACCCCGAACATTCTGCGACATTTTTCAGACCATTTCTGCTGCATTCAGAGGCAGCCCAGCAGTCACTCAGCAGCAGGCTGCAAAATACATGTGGGAGTGATCTGTTTTTCTGGACAACATACATCTGTTGGAGCTAGTTATGTTACAAATAGGATCATTTCTGGCTTCCACACTTGGAAACGCTGTGCCTGCATGAGCCCTGACCTACACTTGGGGTCACACAACCCCAAAGAACTGGAAAACTCCTCAGAGGTCACTGGAGTAAACCTCAAGTGATGTACAAATGCTGCATTTGGAGAAGATGACCAGGAAGGGCCAGAAGAGTAATAGCCCCAGCCTCAGTTGAAGTCCTTTCCTTGCAGCAGAAGCAACCTTGTAGGGTATGTTTGTAGTTTGAGCTTCATTTGTAACTTTTTTTTTTTAATTTTATTTTTTTCTTGTGTGTGGTGTCAGTGCCTGCACCAGATGCTGAGCACCCCGTTTTTCATCTGGGAGTGGTAGATCTACTGTGGAAGCTGTGTTGCTCTTCTGCAGCACCTGCTGGTCAGCAGCCTTTGAGGGTTTATGGTTTTTCTGGTCTGTGTGGGACTGGTGGTCGCAGCTGCTCTGCAAGGGGCTGAGAGCAAAGTTGCTGGGAAGATGCTGTGTAGCTTGACTTCACACATAAGCACAAACCCAGGGGTTTGAAGCAGTTGTTTCTTAACATAAAATTAGGAAAATCCCCTCCCAAAGAACATGAGGGCTGTGGAAATGTATTTACTGACTAGAATTTCAGCAATGTCTGTAGCAGGATAAAGGATGGAACTGGCGATCACCATTCACTGAAGGTGTAGGGCTTAACAGAAGGGAAGAATCTTGATTGCTTTTACAATGTTTAGTTGGTAGAGAAATAGAGAATTTAGGGATGGCATTTAAAAAGCTATGACACTGGTCATGTCTGCCTGGTTGTAGCAAAGCTTTGTTGGAAAATGAAGAGTTGACCATAGCACAGTGGAAACTGTTCTGTTATAACCGTGTGCTTACAATATTTTAAAATCATTTTGCAGTCCGCTAAACTACGCAAGTTGCCGCCCTTTCTCACCATTTCCCTCCTGAGATTTAACTTCGACTTTGAGAAGTGTGAACGGTACAAGGAAACGAGCTGCTATACATTCCCTATCCAGATAAATCTGAGGCCTTTTTGTGAGCAGGTTTGTACTATTACATTTGGTAAAGTTTCTGTATACTCAGCAGAGAACCGTTATCTCGAGGACAAGTTATCTTTTATTTTGCATTTTGTTAGGGCAAGGTATGTGAGAGACTTTGTGGGGTTCTACTCTGTCATCAATTCCAATTTTTCACAATTCCAGTTTGTTTCTGAAAAAACACTTTCTAAGTGGGAAATAACTTGTAGCTTATATCGGGTAAAAGGTATAATAATGACCTGAAACTTGATCTGACCTTTGTTTGAAAGGAAGATTATCACCTGGAAACAGAAATTGATATTTGTGTTGTCATTGTCTGATAACATCATGTATAAATTTAGCTATATATGTTTTATGTGCCTGTAGTTATTTTATTTTTGTTAGGAATTTGTCTTTGCATTCCTATGCATGTTATTTTGATTATAAACTGAGCTATAGCAGTGCATGACGACAGTTTTGGATCCTTGAAATATATAAAGAATATACTCAATAGCAGCACTCTTATTGAAAATTACATTTCTCTCAGTGAAATATTGCAGTGCAAACTGTTTGCATTTGAGGAAGTCTTTTTTTTCAGTTGCTTTGTGTATATAAGTGTGTGGCATTTTTTTTTCTCTCTAGTCTTTTAAACAAAATAAGCCTGGTTATGAACAAGCAGGTTGAGCTGTTCTGTTATTTGCGTCACTGTTTCATTATTTGAAATTTTGAATTGCTAATACTGCTTTACAAGTTGCTTAATAAGCCTGTGCCTTGCCTTGTGGTTTGTGTCGGTCCATGCTTGGGTTCCTCAGCACTGAAAAGCCGTTTCAGTCTCTACGCGTGTGAATGCACGCTGAGAGATACCTGCAGCTGTGCTGATGGTGTAAAACTGTCCTTGTGTGAAAGACTTGCTGATATATATTATTGTTACTATTATTGTTTTTCTTTTTAAAGACTGAAATGGATGATTCAGAGTACATGTATGAGCTCTTCTCTGTTATTATACATAAAGGTGGCTGCTATGGAGGACACTATCATGTTTATATCAGAGATGTGGATGAATTAGGAAACTGGCAAATACAAGTAAGTCCTAGAAGTTTTTCTTCCTTACTTTTTAGATGTGTCTCATTTTTCAGAAAAGTATTAAGAGCTAGTGGGTGAAATGTACATCTGAGTTAACATTTTAGTGAGGCATTTGGTCTCTTATCTCTTTCAGAAGCCTCGTTTTCCACAGTTCGCGATCTCTATCAAGATTTTGTAGCCAATTTTAGCTGAACTGTCTCACAGTAGGGGGTTCACTTCTTTCCCAAATGAGTTAATATCTTTGCACCAGACTAGCACAGTCATTGTAGTGGACGTATCTGGCTGTTTGTAAATCACACAAATGCTTTTTCTGCTAATAAAAGCCTAATGGTGGCTATTCTGTATGGCAATATACAATCGGTATAGGGTGGCGGAGGCAATTTAGGAGAATTTCCTTTACTCTTCTGAATTGTGGGTGCTAATATTAGCACAGGTTATAATCAAAATACGCCATTTGTGTGTGAAACAACAGTAGTTGAGTCTCTTATTTTTCTTATGCCAGGAAGAAGAGGATAGGCTGATTGAAGATAAGGCTGTAAGAGATACAGAAAATGCCGAAGTAGAAGAAAATCCATTGGCAGTGTTGAAAGGGATTTTATCAGAGGTATGGTATGTAAGGAGTTTATTGCTTTGATTTTGCTGTTAGGGAACTAGAAAAAGGGATAATGTATGCATGAGTGGGCAGTTTTAAGTCTACAGAACTTTTCTGAGCTTACTGTGAAGCATATAAAACTTATAACTTAACCTGACTTTAATAGTGGCTCTTCATAAAAATAATCATCTCTTTTTGAGTATTTAAGTGTCTCACCAAAGCTGTTGCAAAAGATGATGTTATATTGGCTTATTAACAAACAGGAATGATTTCAGCACATCAGAATTGGCTTCCTTGTGTTGATCCCTTGACTTTTGTACTCGTCGTTATGCTACTTTTTAATTTCTCTGTAGGACGAAACAAAGCAAATTCCTGTGGATCAATTAGGGCAGAAATTATTGGAGAAAAAAAGGGTGTCCTGGAATAAGAAATACCGAAAACAATATGGACCATTACGAAAGGTAACATGTATATATGTTAGTTTGTTATTTAGTGTTGAGATAACTGTTGAATAGTCAGTAGGATGGCAGTGGGAAATACTGGCACTTGGACTAGCAAGGTAGAGCATGTGCAAGAGAGGTTTGTAAGGTAAATTAGTAAACTGGAGGACAAGATTTTCAAGGGATTGTCTGCCTGAAAGCTTATGTCTTTTTTTTTTCCATCTGTATGATTGTCCTATATAATAATTAACTTTGCCTGCTGCACCTTGTTTCACTGGTGCCTGTGGATGAAACTGCAACAACACTAATAGAAGGATTCATGAGAATTAAAGTAATGTAATAGTTCCTCACAGCCACAACAGAAATGAGGTTTTGAAAATGTATGCCACTTTCTAGTTGATTGGGGTATGTGCATAAAACAAGATTTTACTGGAAGTATCAATATTTGTCCATTAGTTACTGTTTTTTCAAACACTTTAGCATTTATTTTATAGATATGTGGGAAATTAATGTTTGACTGTTTTTTGAATAGTACTAACAGAATCACAGATTATTTAAATGTAGTTGTGAAATCTGGATGCAAGTCTTCTGCAGAGGTAGATGCTTTTCTGACTTGGGTGAGGAAGTGGTAGAAACAAGTTGTGAGCAACCCAGTATGAACAGTTACAAAGTCTGAGTGCTGCTGTCACTATTACCCAAGCTGCCTTTTTCACAAGTGCAGGATCTATACTAAAAGCACATTGATCAGTGCAATACTTGCCTTACTGAAATAACTGTAAATTGGTTTTCACTTTTTGAAGTATCAAATGAGTTTTTGGTTAAGACTGAAACCGAAATTCAGATTTTGGGGAGTTGATTTTGTTTTGTGATTTGTTGTGGTGGTTTGTGATTTTTTTTTTTTTTGTTAGCTTTTTTCTTTTTTTTTCCTTTGGAGGGTTTGGGTTCTTTTTTTAGTTTTATGGGAGGGATTAGAGGGTGGCTGGTGACCATCACCCACCTCTCCCTATCCTTCAAGAGCCACAATTTTGTTTTGTGTAATTTGGACATAAAGCATGTTTGGAGTATCTGCGTACTGCTAAAATGAAAGTAGAGAACAAAGTGGATAAACTGGGTGAAACAACGAGAAGGTTTTAAGTTCCTGAGATGCTACAATGGGCAGTGTTAATTTGGGTGAGGTACAACTCCACAGATCAGAATTGAGCTCAGATCCTTGTCTGGTAAATACAGAAGGGAGCAATTCTGCAGAGATTAGGAAGCAGAAAGAGGGCTAAACTAGTTGGGATGGTATTCTGTGTCTCTGATAAAGCAGAAACTTTTTGATTGACTATAGAGCATCACTCCCTGTGCTGCCTCTCCAGGGAGAGAGAGTGTGTGCACTTGTGAGAAGTGCTTTAAAAGGACTACAGGATCTCAAGCAGTCCTTGAAATTCAGAAGTTATTCTCATTTAATTTAGTGATGCATGTATGCTGAAAACAGTTATTTTCCAATTTCTTGCATAATAGTTTTTAGAAACAAAACCAGCAACAGCATATAAAAGATCAGGCAGAGAAGTGGTGGCAGGAAGATGAGATTTTTTTCTTTTTAAACTGAGGAAATACATAAGGAAGCATCATAAAACTTAAGTCTGAAGAGATAGGGTTTGTGCATCAACTTGAGACTAAATCAGGTGAAGTAACTAATGCAGTCTGCTTTATTCTAAACTGGATATCTTCTTCATCATGTCCTTGTGTTCTTTTTAGTATTTGCAGAATCATCCTCAGATATTTCAGTTCAGTCCTGATGGTCTTAAGGTCGGTCTGAAGGAAAACCACAAACTCGCGTTTAAGTCAAATTCTGGAGGACGAGATCTCCAAAGCGTGCCTCGGAAGAATGATGTCAGGTGCAATTCAGAGAAAAAGCTCACAAGCCTAAAAGACAATTCTGCTGGTTGCCATTGGTTCGACTTGAACGATTCAAAAGTCCAGCCAATCGAGGAGAAGGATATTGAGAAACAGTTTCAGGGTAAAGAGAGTGCCTACATGCTGTTCTATCGGAAATCTCAGTTAAAAAGGCCTCCTGAAGGTACACAAAGCTCATCTTGATATTCTGGGGGCTTCCTTCCTTGGCAGTTTGTTTTCTGGAGGGCAAAGGCTGTTGGGCATTTCTGTCCCTTCTAGGAATTGAAGGTGCAATTTTCTTTCTAGCGCTCATTTGCAAAAAGAGTTAACTAAAATACACAGAGGTTACCTTCAGGGGAGTAGTGAGCAGTTAATTGGTTATACCTGACACTAACTTTTTGCTACTATGCTTCACAAGAACTGCCAGAACATCTGCTGAAACAAGTACATGTTGCTAATGGCATTCAGGTATCGATTTCCTTTAGGGA